CAGTGGAAAAATTGGATTACCCACTTTTAAGTACTGTTCATTATCAAGACACTCACAGACTCAATGAGGTGGCAAAGGCAATAACACACAAGAAGCGCCAACAAAGAAGATGAGGGTTGAAAGCACGGTGAAGCTGGCAGATCATGAAGCTTCAATCCAAGAGAAGTTTTTTGGCAATCTTAAAGTTCAATGCACATGTTTCCTTTTCAGCTTTTATCTGGTGGGGTTTGCCCTGAGGCTTGCACTTGCTTGTGGGTCTTTCAAGCTGATCTATGATCTCAAGCAAGAAGTACTTTGGGCTGTGGCATGCGATGGCAAAAAGCGTTCTGATTCCTTTGAGATGAAGGGACCATGCGAGCTGTTTGGCTTTGGGAGTGGTGACTTCTGTGAAGGACCTGATGCAAAGGATGTCCAGTCTGACCTTAGTGGTCGCTGGGTCTCCTTCAAAATCAACTCAGGCGATGAGTTGTGCATCTTGGAACCAGACCGGCGTCTACCAGACCACATTCGCAAAATGGATCTCTTTGGCAAGGTGTTTTGGTACTATCTTGAACTTGTAATGGTTGTGTTTGAAGGCAACTTGTTCTGGTAATGCACATAGTATTATACCTTTAGAATATATAATATAGGTAGATAAATTTAATATTTACATACAGCAATTCAATCTAATAATCACTTTTGAATTTCTCAGGTGGTGACCCTTGGGGCTGCGCTCAGCGAGTTGGAGAATACTGGGGAGGTCAATGTGAAGCTATCCATGCACACGATGGAGCGCCAGGAAAGTGGTGGCACTTTCAAGTTCCAAGCTCAAAAGGATGTTTGCTTTGTGCTGGACCCAGTCAAGGAATCTAAGCGCAAGAAGGCAGAATGGCAAAACAATTGAAAGAAGTGTTCAACATGTTTCAAAAAAGTTTGTAGTTGGAGTAGCCAATGGCATTGAGCACAGGGGTCAGTCCTGACAAAAAAAGGTTCTAACATGTCAATGTTCTAACAAATGCCCCTGATTTGCTACCCTCTTCCTGCAGGCAAGTGCGTCAGCTGTGACCTATGGTGCCAAGCTATCCCTGCCCAAGCTCAGGACTTCTGAGAATGTGAAGCTATGTTGGCGTTTGAGGTGCCAGTGATGAAACATTGATTGTTCAAGGGTATGTTCATGGAATGTTTGCAAAATACAATGGTTAGCCATGTATTAAACGGTGGTGTAGCGTATGGGAGAGACAGGTTGGCAATGGTCACTGCTACATAGTGTGGATATTATGTAAAGCAATGCCTGGTATATCTTCCATCCAAATAGTGTTGAACATATCTTCCATCCAAATATGTGACCACCACTGCACAACCACCCAAACTCATCACCAGCCAGGCTTCAAGCGGATCAGAATGGCTCAAAGGATCTGATTCCAGTTCGTCCTGTCGCACTGCTTGTGAACAGCTTTGAGGGGCAGGCTGATGAAATGTACCAGCTGGTCTGATGCTCCAGGTTCATTTTTGATTTTGGAAAGCTAACCCCAGGTTCAGTCAAGTATATGGAACCAACTTCAATGTCCAACACTGTCCCACCTGCTTTCTTCCTGGGGGAGCCAGTTGCTTGTGGCTCATATTTGGGGGGGTTGCTTCAACGCTTTACCTAGCTTGGCCTAGCTGCCTAGCTCATGGTATTCGCTGGCATTGCACTGAGAGCAGTGCACAGGGTGCCAGGCAACCAATTCATTAGCGTGGGTGAAAGCACCCAGGGTGGACCAGAAATCTCATGGCAGGATGTGAAACATTCAGGAATGATGGGTATCCCATTATGAACATCCAAAACTGAAGCTTTACAATGCCTCAACTTTTTTCAGGCATTAGAGGGATTAGAGGTGTGAGCCTATAGAGTTGGGTTCAAGGTGAATGGATTGCCCCTGAGCCATGGAGACACCTGGCAGAGTACAAACAAGCCACAAGGGTAGTGCCATAGTGACACCGGCCTTCGACCTTAACCAGTACTCATCCCTGATCAATGCTGTGGAAGCTCCTACTCCCAAGCCCAGCGCTGCACCACCTTCCAAGAGTAGCTAGCCCACACTTGGCAAATATTTTAGAATACTGCTGACTGCTGATTCTTGTTTTGTTTTGGTTGCTTCTAGGTGCATGGTTTTAACCATTTAACCAGTGAGCCCATTGTGCCTTTTCCAGCTGCTAAGATGCATCTACCGGGCCTACCAAGCAACTCCAGCGCTGTGAGATGGGAAGTTCATCTGAAGACAAGTCAGGTGAAACTGGTGAAGAGTGTGAACAAGGTGGCAAAGATGCTAACAAAGGCAAGGAAGATTTGAAAGGAAAGAATGAGAAGAAGGCCAAAAAGGAAGACAAAAAACAAAAGAAGAAGGACGACAATGTGGCAACCAAGAAGAAACCAGCAAAGAAAAAGAAGGATGAGTATAGCGGTTTGTTTGATGACATGAGACCAGGTGATGATGATGATGGTGATGACAGTGACCCTGATGACCCAGAGGCACAGGCAGCAGAAGGTTCAAAGAAGTCCAAGCACCACAAAGGCTCAGAGTCCAAGACAAAGAAGAAGACTAAAGACCGAGACCCTTTTCCTGACCTCAGTAAGTTTTACCCTGCTTGATTGAAATCAAGTAAATACAAAAGAATTGTTGCTAGAGGTTTATTTAATAGAATTTAATTGATCTGGGTGATGCTACCTTGTTTCCTGTTGACCATTGAGAAGAGAAGGAAACACACAAAGAGAAGAAGCGTCATGGAGGAAAGCGGAAGCATGAATTGCTGTCAAAGAATGGGAATGGTGATGAGGAGGATGAGGAGGATGATGCTTCCCCAGGTTTCATGGGCTTCAACAAGACCAATGATCCTGGTGTTTTTCCTGACCGTGTAAAGGAGTGCATGAGTCTTATGTCCAAGAGTGCTATTGCAACCTGGCAGCAAAAGCAGCAAAGGGTCAATGTGGCTTGTCCTTCTTTTGGTGCCCCCCTTGCGCACATAGAAAAGGTAGTATACAAAGGCTCCTTCATCAGGGTGGATATACAAAGCACTGGAGTTTGCAAGTTCAGCACTGTAGGTTCGCCACAATTCTCGCATTGCTGTGGAAGTGGCTTCAAGTGGTGAAGAGGAGGACATCTTCAAATGTTCATGTTCATAACCTCAGTTGTTACCCTATCACCCCAAGTAATGGGTCACAGTCATTGTCATGATTTCTCCAAACAACCCAATAGTGGAGTGGAATGAAGGACATCAAGAGGGATGCCAAGGAGAGAGAAGATCAGCAACATGGCAGCATGGGAAGCCATATGCACTACATCATGGACAAGGAGGAGGAGCAGCTCATGCGCAAAGCATTTGATGCCATGGTCATCACTAGCACCAGTGATTCTCAGGGGCGTGATGAAGTACAGCGGGCTTTGACTTTCCAGCAGCGCATGGCCAGGGGCACCATGTTCAACAGTCAGGAGAAAGGGACCCAAGAAGAAGGTGAAGACATTGATTCTCTTGGTGGCACGACCTTGGTTTTGGGGCAATCACCCAAGGACAGTGTGTTTGCTTTTTGGGTGTCAATGATTGAGTGGGTGTTCTTTCTGTTCTCATGTTGTTTAATCTACAAAAAGGTTGTTGTTTTATGCCTGAAGTTCACTTTGACTTGCAGGCCTCGCCTTCCAAGGAGGAAGGGGGAAGAACTATGGATCCCACGAGATTGAAGGACAGGTTTCTTCAAAGCTTTCACTAGACCCTTTTTGGGGGCTGTTGGGTTCCAATTCCGTCAAGGAATGTTTTGCAAGAAGCAGTTTAAGCTTAAATGGTGGTACAACACAGTTGTGGATATAGTACCTTGTGGTTTGCTATAACAATCTGACATTTCAACCTGTGTAGGAGACCAAAGTGGCTGAGCAAAAGCCCAAGCCTGCGCCAACAGCCAAATGCACTGCCAAAGCCAAACCACGTCCCAAGGCTGTCCCAAAGGCACCAGCAAACCCCCCACGTAGAGGTAGAGAGAAAGTGGGCAAAGGGAAGGATGTGAAGCCAAAGCAAAAGGCCACAAAGAATCAAGGAAAGGCACAGGTAATGAAAAGGCCAGCAAGGAAGAAAGATCCAGTGGCTAAACTATTACTATGATTTTTTCATATGTGTCTTCAAACATAGGGTCTTCAAGAACAATACAACCAATGTCATTCCTTCTGTTGCTGAGGTGGCTACTGAAAAAAACCGGATCTATAGCAAGGAGTATCGGCGAATCCTTTCCAAGGAAGGCAATCGTGAGCTGGCAAGGCGTATGGCTCGTGAGGCTGTTGCTGCTTCCCAGTAGCTCTGTCAACAGTGCATAGCTGCGTTTGGGCAAGACTGGTGAGACTAACTCACTTATTAACTTATAGACCAAAGGCCCTTCTATCAAACCAATTCTCCAGGTTGAACCATTGTGATTCATTTGCCCAGCTTTTGATCTTATGGTGGCATGACCCACTGACTGACAAGTGACACATGTTTTGGGAAAAAGTCCTCCAAACTGCCAGCCGCTGCTGCGCTGCCATTGGGTGAAAGAATGGAGAAAATAATTAGAAAGAATTGGGTGATGAAAGATATTTGGGTGACACCCTAATTGGATGATTCAATAATTATTGTAGTCTGTTTTTGCAACATGTTTGGCTTATAAATAATGTGTGGTTCCTGCTCTCTTGAGCCACCAAGCCACAACTCCAAAGTCCTGCTTTGATTTGGTTGAAGTCCTGCTTTGCATGACACTCTTTTTAATATATATATATATAATATATATATATACACTATAAACAAAAACGCGTTGTCCCGCCAAACGGGGGTGACTTGGAGTGATGTCTGCATCCTGTGATTTGCATATCCTGTACTGTAGGCTAACCACTTCTGCGAGAAGAAAAACGTATCCCACAGTCAGTCACAGCCCCTCGCAACACCAAAACGACGGCACCAACTTCTTCAGCCGTTGACCTAGCGGTCCGCAGCGTGATGTCCAAGTCCAAGCAGGGTCCTCTTGCCTCTAAGAAGATCAACCCAAGGGCAATCTGGATGATCGAACAGAAGGTGATGCGGCCTTGTGCCTTGCAATGACCAGCTGGCTTGCTTTTGATTCAGGGAAACGCCTGCAATACGAATTAAAGATCGGAGAGTTGTGAACGATCCAGGAGCTGTCTGGCATGACATTTAGTTACTCTTCATGCATTCATGGATGCCATTGCAAGTCTCCTTGCGCCCTCTTTGCTTGGACTTTCCATGACATGGGCTTGGGTGCCGCCCCCATGCAGGAACCCGTTTCGGGGCCCTCCAAGTGCCTTCTTGGCCACGTAGACCACCGAGCCCAGAACAATCCAGTAGCCCAGAAGTGTGCCGATGATGAGACACCATGACCACAAGGCCTGCAACATCACCACCCAGTACAGTCATTCGCAACAGACCTAGTCCGCACCAAGATCAGAAAGTGTCACTTTTCCTCGATCTCCCGCGCCACATCCTCCAGGGCTGCTCCACGATAAACCCGGTGGCGATCCGGCCTTCGGAGAAGCCTCGAAGACCTCACTGCAGAAGAGATCGTAGCCCAATCGGCCATGGGAGGCCAAGTACAGGACTCGGTGATACCTGGCGAAAAGGTGGCCCAATGTGGGCTATGGCCATGGGTGGGGGCCAATAAAAGAAAATAGAAACAGAACCCAAACCTTGCCCGGATCGAGCCATAGCTATGGGTGACACTGGTGTTGGCAGGCAGGATTGAGTTGCTGGACTGCAACAATCCTGGGAGCCGATCCAACTCGCACAAATGTGTTACCTGGGTCCCACCTTCAACAAGTCAGACTTCTCCAAGTTGCCACTCTAGGCCGCCACGTTTGGTTGCTTGCTCCTGCCACCAGTGCATCGAACCTTTCCTGCGCACACGGGAGGTTGGCTCAATCCAGCTTGTTGTTCCCTACACACCTGCTGGTACGGATCAGGTGGAACATTGTGGAATCTAACGGGTTGCCAAATCAGCTGTAACATCTTTTGGAACAGAAACTTTTGCACCTTCAACGGTCACCTCACCTCACACGCAAGACTGCTCCCTCTCTCTGCCGCTGTCGCCGCAGAAGGGTGTTGAAATGCCAGTGGAAACTATGATGAGTCTCACCGTGCCTAGGAGCCCGCCCTAGAAGCGTCCTTGCTCCTAGTAGCGATGCCCTTTGTTCCTGCTGCCAAGGAGCTTGATGAGTCTCACCGTGCCTTAGCAGGCAACACAAAATCCAAGATGTGTCCGCCGAGCCCGCCGTCTGCGATTCATGTTGACAAGGACCGTTTGCTGTGGGGGGGGCACAAGCAAGCTCCAAAACCTGTTTTTGGACATTCTTCTGGGTCCTGGCTATCATAGTCATAGCGGTTGGCCACACCAGGACCATAATTACAACCACTGAGTAACATCGCGATACGTTCATGCCACTGGTCTGCAATGCTGGTGAGTTGGCTTTGATCAGCCCAGGCTCTGCTTGTTTGAGGGCCGCACTTCATAAACGGGAAGTGGGCACCGGGCACGACAAATGGAAACTTTCCAGCCAAACTCTGTGACTATCTCTTCTGCGTTCTGAAGTTGGATTGACTGAGGTGGCAAGGGCACAAGCAGAAAGGGAGACTGGGAGACCATCTGATAAGACCTTGATACTCCTGATGCTACTCCTGATGCACTTCCTGATAGGCTATCTGACAGCTGAGGGTGTGGCACATGAGACACAAGGCCAAGGGAAAGGCCATCAGTACCTCCACGAGGATTGCACGAGTCCAGGCCTCGGACCAACGCGTTCCGAGATTCAGTGAACGTGCAACATCCGAGAGTCGGTTGCACATTACTAGTACTCTCTCTATATATATGTGTGTATATATATACACATATAATGTTAACTAATATGTGTCTGATTGTGTATGTGTGTGTGTTTAGCCCGGGGGGCTGGGCCGCTATAGGAAGAGGTAAGCCTATTAGTAAGCTATTAGGTACAGGATGCTACTAGCTAGCAGCTAGGACGCTCATGCTTCCAATGATTTTGTTCCTAGATTTGTGGGAAAAACTTAACAAATTAAGCAAAACCAAGTGAGTTTGTTCCTAGGAAGCTTCCATTCTCTGTTCCTTTCTGCGCAAAAGGCGCTCGGTATCTAACTGAGCGATGCTGAGCCCACCCGACCTTATTGCTGACTTGGTAGATGGCCTCATCCAACATCTTGTAGCCAGCCTCATCCTACCGAGATACTCTTGGCGGCGGAACCGTAGACGTCTGCAGACATCCACAAAGCACGCCTCCGAAAACAAAGAACAGTCCAACAGCTCTTGTTTAAAAGTTGAAATCTAGCAGCTAGGGTGTGCCTTTTTCAACCTTTTGCCATGGGTTTATGTCACAAACACTTCGAGCTGGGTGGTTCAAATCGTCTTAGTTTCGTTCCTCCAGAAGTCCTCACTATCATCCTCATCTGCTCCTGAGTTATCATCGTGATAGTCACGGATCTGCGCCTGAGAAAGACTGCTGGCTAAACGACCAGCCAGTGAAACCGTGGGACCTGAAACCAAGAGCCAGCGTGGGTGCATGTGTGTTATCATATGTGTGCGTGTACCCGGTGTCTGCAAATTCCCTCCCTAATCAGCAACTTTCAGGTTGTTTGACAATGGGTGGACAACACATCCACATAATCAGCTTTAGTCTCGTTTGAATCAAAGTGGCATGGATCTTCATTGCATCTTCCTTTTGGCTACATTGGGCATGTGCAGAATTGACTTCTCCTGCCTCAGAGTCGCGTTTGTGCGGTCCAAGAGTCCAACGGGTGCTGCAGTCAAGAATCCAGGAACTGTTACTCATATATAGCTTATTGCTAGCCGAGCTTCAGAGGCTAGAGTGTTTGCAAGCTTGACAGGCACCAGCAAACTCTGAGCTACCTGTGGCGCTGGCATCAAACGCCCGAACTAGAAGCACAAGAATCAGCCAGGCACCATACAATCGCAAATTCGGCACAATGCAGCGAATCAAGTCCAAGATGCAAACATCTCGAATACGCACCACCTGAGCATCATAAATTCAACTGCAAAACTCTAATTCCACAATGTGGCTGCGCATAGTTTCCACAAACTATCCCACCACCAGCATGCCAGCATACAGTATATATATAATTATGTATGTATGTCCCTTGAAGTCTACTTTGCTCTGTCAAGAAGTTGGAATTGTGTTTTTGGGGCACTCAGTGCGGCACAATCGCGTGTACATTTCCTTGGGAGAGCACGGCGGCTTCTGCGGACATTGCTGGTGGAAGAGTCCCAAGCAAAAAGCAGAGCAAAGAGAGATTGCAGTAAACAATCTTGCTGTATAGTCAATGGGTTGGGTAGTTTAACGATATATATATATATAGTGAGAGAGTATATTCATATACAGCAATAGTGTGTTGTCTTTTGAGCACTAGCTACACCACGGGTACATCCCTCTTCAACCCTTTGTCACGGCACCTTCCACATCTATTCTTTCGTTACGAAAGCCGCCCAGTCTCGCAATTGTGATTGGGCACAGCGACCATACCTGCACGGTGCTCTGGCTAGTAGCTTGGTCGATCTTGGTCGGCTTCGGCGAAATCGTGACATGTCAGACATCTTGCGACCCAGATCGACCCAGCTACGGCCCTTGAAGATGTGTCCGCTCCATCGAAGAATCTCCACGACCACAAACAGGAACACCGTCAGCACCTGGACTGGAAAGCATTGAAAAAGCAGTAACAAGAAGCTACTAGAAACAAGTGCCTTACTAGTAGTAACAGGTGCCTTACTAGTAGTAGCAAGAAGCTATTAGAAACAAGTGCCTTACTACTAGGAGCAAGAAGCTACTAGGGGCTCCTGGCCTTACTAGTAGTAACAAGGACGCTATTAGGCACCCGGCAGGACCACATGGCACGTGTTCGGCCGCCTGACGGCCCAGCACATCCCAGATCAAATCACTGCGACTCAGGAGCTCCAAAAATGTGGCCAATGCGCACTAGAATCCGCATAGTGCCCTCCAAAGGTTTGAACTGCCACTCCCAAATGTAAACGGGCAGAAATTCCTGAAGGCTGTGAGGTCTCTCATTGTCCGTGTCAGTCTGCAGCAGGGAAAAACAAAAAAAAGACAGAGAAAAGGCGAGAACCTCGGCAACCCGCTATTGACTATTGGAAGCCTACTTACATTCTCAAGAAAAACATGGAAGGCTATGTTCGTTCAGAATCCATGAGTGCATCTGCCCCCTGACTATGCTGATTGGAAGACGGTTTCAGGTGTGTTTCCCCCCTCCATACTGCTGGCAAAGATTTTCTTTGGCAAGTTGAGTCACCATCATCTGCTGCATTGTCCGAAGGTAGGGGCCGAAAGACTTGAGGCCAAGGGGGGGGGCGAAAGCTAGCGCTCCAGAATGGGAAAGTGGAGGGCAGCGAGGTAGGAAAAAACACGGCGCTCTTTTTGGAGGCAGGGGTGAAGAGTCCTTTATATGTGGCTCTTTGCCCGGATCCTCCTGCGAGAGAAGAGAGAGAAGAGAGACGGAAAGACGAGAGACAGAGAGGAGAGAGAGAGAGAGGAGAGAGAGATGAGAGAGATGAGAAAGAGATGAGAGAGATGAGAGAGATGAGAGAGACAGTGAGACAGTGAGACAGTGAGAGAGTGAGAGTGAGAGTGAGCGAGTGCGCAACGCTAACCGCATGCCAAAGAGCGACGACAGGACGGAGTCGAACTTGCGAAGAGGGAGGAGGGAGGGAGGAAAGATGGGAGGAAAACAAGGAGGAGGAGAGGGGAGGTGGGGAGAGGGGAGGAGGAGGGGGGGGGGTGAAAGAGTGACTAGGGCGTACACGGTAGAGGTGCAGACCGCTAGTGTCTTTTATGCGCAGAGTCTTATCCTCTTGCTCTTTGAGCCTTGAGCCAGTCAAGCATGGACACACTATATCGGCTGTTGGAGTGGAACCCTGTACAGGTAGGCTCTACTTCTCAGCAGGCACAAGATTCATGTCCACTCCTAGCTGATTGCGTATGTCGCATACTCTTTTCTACTGCAAGGCTAAAACAGTCCAGCTAGCTCTAGCAACTTAAAAGAAAACTACGGTGCCATGTACTTACCTAATCCAGTGTGTTTCACACTATAGAGAAGGTAATCTCAAAGCTACTAAATACAGTGAGGGAGCAATAGCTGACTCACCTCAAGTACAAAATCAAAACGATAATGTACCTCGGCTGGAGACTGTACTTTTCACAGGCGGAGATACCATGTACCGGCGCTCGCTAGCTCTTTATGGCCTGAGCTAAATCAAACTAAAAAGGGAAAGCGGCTTTTTCTCTACAGAGACCTATAAAAGAATCAAACGACACTCGCATAACAAAGAACTAAAAATTCAAGACCGCACAAATGCAATTAATTAAAATGCCTTGCAAAATGCAAGGAGCGTACGGTCCGAGGAATAATCTTCTCGTGACGTGGTCTCGACCGCTTTCATCCACAGACAAAATAAAACTGCATCAAAAGGACTCTTTCTCATTTACATCAAAAACACAAGAAGGAGATACCGGCAAATGTATGTACAAAAAAATCTTGCACTACAATTGCAAATCATGAAATGACTTAATCATCAACCATGACTGGTTGTCCATTAGAGGTCACTTCATAAGAGCGGTGGTGATAGATATCATCAGTTATGTAAAACTGTCCATACCTATCTACATGCTAAAGCGTATAAACCTGGAATGCAGGAGTATCTTCTTTGATAAAAAGTTTCTCCTCATTGCAAACCAGAATTTATTAAAACTTCAGCCTGGCAACTTAAAGTCAAGCTTGGAAGCAAAGTATCAACTGTAACCAGAAGTATCTTCACTTCCTAGCCATCATTTAAATTTCAGCCTTCGCTCAGGAATTATGCCGCTGCAAACGATGAAGCTGCTTGATCAGAAGTTGGCGGCCTTCCTTTCCTTTTATTCTCTTTCTGTTTCTCCTTCCTCCGCAGTTTCGCCTCATGAAGCGTTGCTCCCATGCGATACTGTCTTCTGTCTCCAGATGAAAAGGAAGCTGGTCTGAGTGAAATAAACATTGGACCATGACTGTCCTCGTCAGTGGGCCTTGAGCACATAACCTCCGTGTCAATCATAGCAAAGTTCTCTGAAAAATTACAGATGAACTCCTTCGTGCTCACTGTGGAATTTTCATATTCCTCTTCACTCATTGAATGACCCCATTCAACAATGGTAGACAAACATGTATGGCCAAGCTGTGATCCTTGGTATTCTTCTTTTTCAACAGTAGAATATTCTTCCCAGAGTTTATCAAAGTAAACTTCACACTTCTTGAGGACCTGTGAAGTTGAACTGTAAAATGTTCTGGGAATAGGTGCTTTGATACCAGGATCTGCTTTTACACGAGCTTCTGAAAACCTGCGGATCCAATGCTGCATGGTGCTGTAATAGTAGTTAGCCATTGGCTGCCTTTTGTACCCAGACATTCTGTAGGCCAAACTATTTGCATCACCAGAAATGATGTCCACCTCATAGACAAAACACTCGTAAAGCATCAATGCTGTCTGTTCTCCTGTCAGTAGGTGGGCATCCACAGCACGGTGTGTATCAACATGATAATTACAGACTCTGATGGTATGCATGTTCGCTCGAGTAAGTGGAACACGCTTGTCCTCAGGACCATAGTCATCAAATTCAAAGTCTGCATCCTTGAAATCTTGACGAGGCCTTGTTTCTCCAAAACAAATCTCGTAAATAGCCCAAGTTACATCACGCTGTTCACAGTGACCAAGTTCTTGATCATGTCCAGCAATGATCTTGACATATCCACCTGGTGCCAATCTAGCCATCACTGCAAGATTCTCCCAATCATTGAAACAAACTGTCCAATTCTTTTGCTCAATAAATTCCTTGGCAGGAACAAGAAGATGAGCTTCCTGGAGAATCACGACATGTGCACGTAAAAAGAAGAGCATGTTGAAGAAGAGGTTGTTCTCAAATTGCTCATTCTGAAGTGACATGGCGCTCTGTTTGCGTGGCCTCATTGCACTATCAAGTCCTTGGAGAAACCTTGGTGTGGTGTACTTCTGACCACGAACCATGTTGCCATAGTTCCAGGATAAAAATGTCAAGGACTCTGAGCTGGCCAATAAGTTAGTTCCATATGGTTCTTCTATTCTTCCCTTGGGGAACCTTCTGCACAGCTCTTCATAGAAGGTGACAAAGTCCCAACTGGGTCCCTTGGGACCATATGATTCCAGTTCCTTCTTGAGTTCCTTCTTCGTCTCCTCCAATTCTTCTCGAGCATGTCCTGCCCTTTCAAGGGCCTTTGGATGGACCTGATACTTGCCATCCAAATGAATGATGCGATCATCATTGATAAAGAATCTCTTCAAATCATGCTCTGGTTCATGTTCATAACAATCAGGTGGAGGTACTGGACAGATATTACGAATGGATCGAACAAAATCATTCTCATTGATCCTCGACTGATAATGAGGATGGGAAATCTCACCTTTCCTGAAACAAACATGATTCAGCAATCTTGCGTGAGTTTCCCTGAAGCATAGTTGATAAAGGCCAATACCTGGATCTCCTGTAAGCTCTCCAAGCAACTTCAAAGGTGAAGTATGCAGCTCATAGGTATTGTCAACTTTTGTTGTATCCTTTTCAACAACTACTTCAGATGGAAAAGATTCCTGGATTTCAGCCTCCAATTTCTTCTCTCCATCATCCTCTCTGACCTCTTTTATTTTCTCCACCGCCTCTTTCTTCTCTTCCATGGTTGCATCATCCTGAACTTCTTCATGAAAATGAGGATCAGGTATTTTATTCAGGCGGTTTTTCTTAGATTTTGGCAGACGTAGAGTATCATCAAGGTTAGCATCCATCTCACCTGATGGTAAGTGCGATGCAGTCGAGTCCTCACCTATCTCTCTTGACAGGAAGTGTGGTGTTGACTCCTCCTTGGCTTCCTCCTGGTCCACTTCCATCTTTGGTTCCTCTGAAGGAAAAACACCTGCATTCTCATCAAATATTTCTTCTTCCTTTTCAGGTTCAACTGCAGGATCTTCTTCAGGAACTTCCTCTTCCATATTCTCATCTTCTAGAAGTGTCCTACTTCCAGCATAGATTTCACCAGCGATAGTGGAGACTCTTGTATAAGGAGGAACTTCTTCACCTGCTTCAAAAGCTTGTTCTGCAACATCCTTGGTGAGCAAGTCCTCTACAAGATTCTCTCCCTCGGTTCTTGGAAGAGGTCCTGAGGTCTCATAAAAATCTGTCCTCTCTGAACTGAAAGCTTCTGTCGCCTTCTCATTGTCCTTTTGATCCCTGAACAGGTGAGTAATCTTCACAGCTTCTCCCTGTAGCGCCTGATCACCTCCTCTATACTTGTCGACAATGGAGCGCCATACTGGAACATCATCATCATCAAAATCAAGCTCCATATCATCTGCCAACAGGTTTGAGATGTTTTGAGCTGCCTGTTCTTCTTCTTCATCACGTTCTTTGGCAAGCTCCTCATCCTTCTGGATCTTGAAGATACCCTTCAGGATGTCTTGTAGTACCTTTAAGTTCAGCTTCGATGATGGCTCATACGTCCCTGAACTTACAGGCTCAACTACAACACGAGAGCAAGAAATCGCCTCCAAAAACTTGGAATTGTATTGGCGTTCAAACTCTTCCTTCTTGATCATCTCATACAAGGGATCAGAAACTGCAACACGCGCCTGAACATACTCACGAAGTTGATAGCATGCATGTTGCACAAATCTACTGTTGGAGTTGTGAAGAAAACTCTCTAAATGATTCCTGTCACGGTCAATCAAATACCACACAATCCTTGCAGAAAAACGGAATTTCTTGAAGTTCATAGCAAAATGTGTATGATACTTCTCTGGATTCCTTTCTCATTGTAAAGCGGCCTCTGAAGTCTTGTAGGCTGGGAGATTTGTATCTGGATCCAAGATCATAAACTCTTCCCACAAGATCGAGTGGTCAAGAACCCACTTGGGAAGCACCTTGATGAAAAAGTCACAAACAAGTTCCGACACAAGGTGCATGACACGACCAATCTCT